GGGCAACTGGGGCAAGTGCAGCTACCGAGTTGCAACCTACGAAGGGCGGAGCGGCACTCGAAGGGGGCGGTGCGATGCCAGCCCCACGCCCGGCTGCGTTTGTCTCGCCGGTGCTGATATTTACACACCACCGGGTAACACGCGTTTGAGGCTGAGTCGACCTAGGGGAGGCCCGCGACTGGTTCAGATATTCGTCTCTGCTGTCGGGGATCGAGCTGGGATCGCCGGGTTCGTAGCGCAGCGCGTTAATCGCTGCGCCACCGCTCCTCGCACGTGTCCCGGTGGGGGTCTCGAACCCAGCCACGTGTCGCTGCGAGACCTCGCCAGCCAGCCTGCCACTCGCCGGCGACGGCGTCTGGAGACCTTCATCCAGCAGTGCATAGACCATGACGATGTTATACTCTTAGGTTTTGTCGGTAAAGTCACGTAGGTAAAAATAAATAATAGAAATAATAACATAAATAAAATTATTATAATAATTGTATTTCTATTATGATTGTATTATTAGGGCCACTTGCCACTGGGGAGTCCCCTAGGCGAGGACTGCCACACGCAGTGCGCCGAGACATGCAGGAAGCTAAGCAGGGCAGTGCAACACCACCGCCCGTTGTACCGCACTCCTATGTTCACCCACATCTCTTGCGGGTCGTTCACAGCTATCTTCATTTAAACGAACCAACACCACCATCATCATCACCCCACACTGGGCAAGAACTCCCCGTGGTCGCGTGGATTTTTCTCCGGACCCTCCGCGGTTTCCCTCCACATTTAGAATCAACATCACCACGCGTTCAGAGTATTTGGCTGATGTCAATTTCCACACGATGGTGAGCCACTTCGTTGGTCTGACATTTGTGGCCAGGTCGCTTCCTCAGTAGGCATCCGCTACGTACGGGGAAGTGCTTGCTGATAGCGTGGAGCTTGGACAACGACACCTCGACTTGCTGCTCAGGGCAGCTGAGCCGCTGATTGGAGTCCATCCGAATCCGGGCCCCTTCATCCGCACCATCGTTGCAGCACGGGCTGATATAATAGGGCTACGACATGCACCGTCTCTTCATCATCTGCACCTGCAACCCGCACTCCTGAGGACGCTTTCTGTCCTTGGGCTTCTCCGAGGCCAACGTCGGAGACCGCATCGGCACCGTGGTTGCAGAGGTGGCAGGGGCCGCCGTTCACAGGTCGACCTCGAACCAGCCAACTCCTCTGTTCCCTCGACGCCTCACCTGCACGGATCTTCACATCTACCTTCACATATCCGCCTCGGTCTGCTCAACGCACGCTCCATCACTAATAAATCAGCCCTGATTCATGATACCATCTCGGACCACCACATCGACCTTTTGCTCATCACTGAGACCTGGTGCAGGCAAGACTCCCCGCCAGCTATCTCTCTGGAAGTTGCGCCCCCAGGATACAAGGTTCTACATAAACCTCGCGCAACTAACCAGCGGGGTGGTGGCTTAGCGGTCGTTTACAATGCTCACTTGAAAATTAAAGAGCTCCATCTACCAATGGCTCAGGCCACATTCGAGGTCCAGTCCGTATCCCTTACTACTAACAACGAGTGCTTTTACATTATTTCCATCTATCGCCCTCCAGATGGCAGCATCAACACCTTCGTAAATGAGCTTTCGGAATTCCTATATCTGATTCCTAACCCATCTCACAGGCTCGTGCTTACAGGCGACTTCAATTGCCCCGGCAATACCCCAGCCTCCATCGATAGTCACCTTGAGTCAACTTTGGCCTGCCATAACCTGGTCATCACAAACTCAGGCCCCACCAGAGCTTCGTCAACAAACGTTGAGAGCATGCTCGACCTGGTTCTGGAACCTAACCAGCACCGACGCATCACTGCACTGGGAGTTTTCCAAACTGGTTACTCCGACCACCGCCTTATACTTTCTTCCCTCCAATTTCCGAAGCCAATCACCATCAAATTCACCCGCAACTTGCGTAATTTTAAGGGTATCGAATTTTCTGCTTTTCGTCACCTCCTTGCAAACTCGCTTTCAATGTTATCCCCATCATCGGATCCAACCGTCTGCGCTCTCCAACTAGAAGCTGACATGAGGGCGGCGCTGGACAAACTAGCTCCATTAAAATCACGAACCGCTAGGCAGTCTTCTCACGACACTCACTGGCTCTCAAGAGATGCCATCATTGCTAAGCGAACCAGGAGGCGTCTTGAACGTATCGCATCCCGCAGTGGTCTACCTGCTGATCGACTTGCTTACAGAGTCGCCTGCAGGAAAACTAACAAACTGATCCTTGTTTCACGTTCCTCCCACATTGAGGAACGCATCAAAAAAGCAACCGGAAACCCGCGCATTCTATGGAAAACTCTCAAAGATCTTCTCCATCCTGGTAGCACCATGGTCCCTCACCTTAGCGATCCCCTTGCCTCACTGAAACTTGCCACCTCTTTTAATACTTACTTCAACAACCAGCTAATCGCCGTCGCAAACTCGTGCACGTCTACTGACACATTGCACCATTGTACCCCGCTCATGGTACCTAAAATTGTAAGCACTAACCCAGACACTCTTCTAACTATGCTAAAGCCTGTGTCTACAAAAGACGTTTTCGCTTTAATTGAATCACTTCCTTTGAAGTCATCTCCACTCGACGTGCTCCCAGGTTCCTTGTTCAAGCAATGTGCTCCGGAACTCGCCATCATGATCAGGAACATCGCAAATGCCTCCTTCTCTTCGGGGTGTTTTCCGTCCAACCTCAAATCTGGCCTGGTTTCTCCCTTGTTAAAGAAACCAAATCTAGATCCGGATGACCCATCTAGTTATCGTCCCATCACTAACCTCTCGAACCTCTCTAAACTCCTTGAACGACTAGCCCTCGCCCAGCTACAACCACACGTCACCTCCTCCGCAAACTACTGCAACTTCCAGTCAGCTTACCGTCAAAACTATTCCACAGAAACAGCACTCACTAGGGTGCTCGATGACATTTTAACGATCGTTGATTCCGGCTCAACTGTTGCACTTGTAAGTCTGGACATTTCGTCAGCCTTCGACACCATCAACCATTCGCTCCTTACTTCCCTCCTGAAATCCGACTTCGGTATATGCGGCTCAGCACTCAAGTGGATAGCTTCGTACCTTTCTGACCGGCAATCCTCAGTCAGGGTGGGCATGTCCACATCGCCTGAAACAAGAGCATTATGCGGGGTTCCCCAGGGCTCTGTTCTAGGTCCCCTGCTCTTCACAGCCTACACTTCCCCGATCGGCCGACTCATTGCAAGCTTCGGTGTTAAGCATCACTCATACGCGGATGACACGATTCTATTCACCGCCATCGATTCTAGCAATGCATCTGGATTCGAGAGGCTCTCGGAATGTACCACCGCCGTGCAACAATGGTTCACTGCACACAACCTAGCCCTTAATCCGAAAAAGTCAGTGGCCATCATGTTAGGTACCAAGCAACGTCTCAATTCAGCAGCACTCGCCACACACATACACATCTTCGGTCATAGCATCAAGTTCACCAACCACTTCAGCTACCTCGGTGTCATCCTAGATTCAACTTTATCCTTCGACCGTCAAACCAACCATATCATCAGCTCATGTAACTTTCACCTGAAGGCTCTTAGACACATACGTCCTCTCATCTCTACTGAAATTGCCAACACTTTGGCATGTTGCATAGTTGGGTCTCGCCTTGACTATTGTAACTCCGTCCTTGTCCGGACCTCCGCTGGCAACCTAAGGAAGCTTCAAAGACTACAAAATAACCTAGCACGCGTCGTCATTGCCCACACTCATCCCCGCCTCGACTCACTAGCTCGTCTCCGCGCTCTCAACTGGCTCCCCATTGCCAGTAGGGTCACATACAAGACCGCCTGCCTCTGCCACAATGCCTTCATATCCGCCTGCCCGCCGTATCTTTCTTCATTACTGACAACTTGCAGCTCAGCACACGGCAGATGCCTGCGCAGCGCGACTCACGACCTCCTCTCAATACCAAGATCCAGGATGGTCATGTCTACGCGCCGCTTCTCGGTGGCAGCCCCAACAGTCTGGAACGATATCCCTCTGCACATTCGCAGCATCACCTCAATCGCCTCCTTCAAGAGACACTTAAAAACTCACCTCTACAATCATGCTTATGAGCGACTCTGAGCTTGGCTCCGCGCCTCTGAGTTGCGGCCACTACGTCTGCAAATTTGCGCGCGTTACAAATTGTACTATTATTATTATTATTACCTGTAGGCATTACCTGTAGGCATTACCTGTAGGCATTACCTATAGGCATTACCTGTAGGCATTACCTGTAGGCATTACCTGGCCACATAAACAGAGTTTAGTTTTAACTCCAGTGGAGTCAGTGCCACCCTGGAGGGGATACCCTGGAGAGGGGGTCCTACAGAAGGGGTGGGGGGTGGAGATGGGGCCCTATAGGGGGGGACCCCTACAGCGAGGACCCCATAGAGAAGGGGACATTGAAGAGAGTTCAAGTTCATTTATTAGGAATAGCCCTGTGAGCCATTCGGCTCTTGAATCGGGTGCAACCGCAAAAAACAAAAACATGAACAAAAAACATCTTAAAGTGAATATGTGACTAAGTGCAAACAGAAAATCCAAGAAAAGACAGCAAAATATTGCAGAAATAAACACCGTACACCAACGCTGTGTGCAAAAATCCCAGTGGGATGCAAGTCAAGCAACAACAATAACAACCATAAGACAACTTGGATTAAGAGAGGACCCCACAGAGGGGAAACCCCATAGACCCTATAGAGAGGAGACCCCACAGAGAGAGGAGCCGTTGCACCGGGAGGGGACGCAGCGAGCCCGCGGTGGTGGCGAGAATCTCCGGCGCTTATCCGCTCTAGCAAATGTGAGGTGCATAACCGCCGCGCCTTTCTCGGTACGCAGTGGGGCGTTGTGGATTTCCCAGCCGGGATAAGCGAACCCCCGTCGCGGGCGCCCCCTGGCGGCCAGGCCGGGTCCCCGCGCACGTGTGCGGCGGGCGGCGGAGTCCAGCACCAGCGGCGGCAGCAGCAGCAGCAGCCCCGTGTGCGTGGGCAGCAGAGGGCTGCCCTTCCCCTGCCCTTCCCCTGCCCTTGCTACTGCCGGCCATGGGGGTCTTTCCAAGGGGACAGAGACCCCGGCGAGGGGGTGCCGAAGGGACCTGGTTGGCGGCGCTCCTCGCCCTCGTGCTGTGCGACTCGCTGTGGCCACGGCTCGCCCGCTGCGAGGTGAGCAAAGGGCATCCGGGAGAGGGGATGTAGTGGCAAGGATCCCACAGAGGGGACCGAGAGAGGGGATACTACAGATGGGACCCGAGGTGATCCTAGGGTAACGTCGAAGGATCCCTATAGAGGGGAGCCGAGAGAGGGGATGTTGAAAAGAGGACCCCTTTTAGGGAACCATAGAGGACCCTGGAGAGGGCATCCTAGAGAGGGTAACCCGGGAAGGGACCCCATAGGATCCTACAGAGAGGACCCCATAGAGTGAACACATCCCGGGTTGCGATGTTACCGCAACAGCAGCACCGCTGCCAATTCGTATACAGTACAGTGCTACTGTACATCCCGCAGACTAAAGCCCTAAAACCCCGAACCCTAATCCCGCCCGCCAATCCTAGACCTGGCCCTAAACCTTAACCCTAGCCCCAACCCATACCTTCACCCTAGCCCCAACCTTAACCCTAGCCCCAACCTTAACCCTAGCCCCAACCCATACCTTCACCCTAGCCCCAACCTTAACCCTAGCCCCAACCCACACCTGAACCCCAACCCCAACCTGAACCCTAGCCCCAACCCACACCTTGACCCTAGCCCCAACCCACCCCTTGACCCTAGCCCCAACCCACACCTTGACCCTAGCCCCAACCCACACCTTGACCCTAGCCCCAACCCACACCTTGACCCTAGCCCCCAACCAACACCTTGACCCTAGCCCCAACCCACACCTTGACCCTAACCCCCAACCCCCACCTTGACCCTAGCCCCAACCCACACCTTGACCCTAACCCCCAACCCACACCTTGACCCTAGCCCCAACCCACACCTTGACCCTAGCCCCCAACCAACACCTTGACCCTAGCCCCAACCCACACCTTGACCCTAACCCCCAACCCACACCTTGACCCTAGCCCCAACCCACACCTTGACCCTAACCCCCAACCCACACCTTGACCCTAGCCCCAACCCACACCTTGACCCTAGCCCCCAACCAACACCTTGACCCTAGCCCCAACCCACACCTTGACCCTAACCCCCAACCCACACCTTGACCCTAGCCCCAACCCACACCTTGACCCTAACCCCCAACCCACACCTTGACCCTAGCCCCAACCCACACCTTTACCCTAACCCCCAACCCACTCCTTAACCCTAACCCCCAACCCACACCTTGACCCTGGCCCCAACCCACCCCTTGACCCTAGCCCCAACCCACACCTTGACCCTAGCCCCCAACCCACACCTTGACCCTAACTGCTAACCCACACCTTGACCCTAACCCCCAACCCACACCTTGACCCTGGCCCCAACCCACCCCTTGACCCTGCTAACCCTGACCTTCACTGCTGATCCTCAACCCGAGCTCTAGCCCCCACCCTCCGACCCCGACAAGGAGACCCAACCCTGCCACGAGCCCACGCCCTGATTCGAGCTCTGACCCCAATACCCTCACGCTCTCCCTGCACCCACGGCCTGCTCCCACCGCCTGCACCCACCCCGTGCACCCTCCCCACCCTCCCATCCCCTGCTCCCACCCTCGGCTCCCACCTTCTACACCCACCCTGCTCCCATCGTCTCCACCCACCCCGTGCCCCCCGCAGGCCAAGGACGTGTGTCTGGGTCTCAACGAGCAGCAGTACTACTGCGAGAGTGGCCACTGCTGCGGAGACAACGGCTGCTGCACCTACTACTACGAGCTGTGGTGTGAGTACCTACTACTACTACTACGAGCTGCGGTGTGAGTGCAGTACCGCTCCCAGTGGCTGGCAGCAGCCACCACCTTACACAGGTGACCCCAGAGAGAGTGTTGAGAGAATACCCGAGAGACCCTAGAGAATATTTATTGCATGTGGAAATAATAATTGTTTACAATTCAGAATAGATTTTTGAGAGAATTTGAAAACAGATTCAGCAGTGGTTGGATAACGCGATGTCTCGCTTGAGACTGCATCGAGCGTCTTGAAGGCGAGGTCCGGGAAGGCGTCGGGCTCTCTCCGCCGCCGTGCCCCCCAGGGTTCTGGCTGCTGTGGACGCTGGTCGTGGTGCTGAGCTGCTGCTGCGCCTACCGGCACCGGCGCTCGAAGCTGCGCTCGCACCAGCGCGCCAGGCAGCGTCGCATCGACATGCTCGCCTACCGGGGGGCCTGCAACTACCCGGGCCCCCCACTCGACATACGTGAGTGGCGCAGAGGAGGGGGCGGGTGGCACGGGCATGGTCACACAGAGACACACAGACAAAGATCCCCCGTATAGCCTGAACAAACTGTTGGGCCAAGGGCTGTTAGCGAGTAGCACTTGTGAAGGTCGGCACAGAACATGAGGGGGTGGGTGGCCAGCACTACGCCCGGCTGCCTTTGTCTCCAAAGTGGTGATGTCCACTTAACATCGCACCAGGTACTCATTTGAGGCGACACACACGGACACACACAAATGGGGGTACGTGCAGGAATACAACAACAGCCACCATTCCACACGGTGATGTCAGAACGGCACCTGTGCCAGGCCAGGTGCACCGTGAGGCTACGGGAAGTGTCAAGGCCCGCTGGCAAGAGGTGACAGAAGAGACCCAGGTGCCATGGGTTCACTTAAATGACTGGCACATGCACCAGCTGTGCTCCTCACTGTGCCAGTAGTGACACAAAAACACAAGAGCACACGCATTGGCACACGCATGGGCACACAATCAGAAACGTGCCCACACATACGCTATCACCCCCACGCATGAGTGTCTGCATTTTAACCAGATGAGAGCCTTAACCAGGTCAAGTTATTCGAGAACCCCTCCAGAGGATATTTGGCCTACTCTTGCATGCTGACCAAGTACGTCTGGCAGTGGTGAATTTTGTTGTTGATGTTATGTTGATGATGTTGTTGGGTGACATTGTCGATGTTGTTTTGATGTTATGTTGCTGTTCATGTTGCTGTTCATGTTGCTGTTTCATCTGTCCAGGCCTCATGGCCGTATGCAACCTGCCGCCCTACGAGGAGGCCATCCTGACCCAGGCCGACACGTCACCGCCGCCCCCCTACAGCGAACTGGGCCCCCAGCAGGAGGGGGGGCTCGATGTGGGCCCCCCCCCCACGGCCAGCTCCGACTCCAGCCTGGGGGGGGCCATGGTCATACTTCACCGTGCAGACAGCTCCCCCGAACCCCACACGGACCCCAGCGACTACCGCCCCTCTGCTTCTCCTCCTCCTCCTCCCGCCCCTCCGCCGCCTTCTCCTCCTTCTTCTCCGGCCGCCACCACCGCCACTTGGAGCGCGACCTCCGAGGATGATGAGGGGGGCTGTGAGCCCCCGGTGGCGATGAGGGCTCCGCAGGAGGAGGAGCACGGCGGGCAGGGTGCAGGACAAGGTGCTGGCGGAGAAGTGTGCGGCGTGGAGCCGAGCCGCGATAAGGAAGTAGCAGTGACCCTGACCTCGACCCCGACCCCAGCCTCAACCCCAAACCCGAGCGTGACCCCGAGCGTGACCCCGAGCGTGACCCCGAGCGTGACCCCGAGCGTGACCCCGAGCGTGACCCCGAGCGTGACCCAAAGCGTGACTCAAAGCGTGACCCCAAGGCCCGGTTCCGGCAAGAAGCGAGCGCGCTTCTGTCCTCGTCTCGACGTCACTGTGGAGATCACCGATGGACAGGAGAGCAGGACCACGACACACCAGGAGGAACCGCTTGGTAACCATGGCAATGACGATGATCGTGATGACGGAGGAGGGGGAGAGTTTGGGTGTGGCGACGACGACGATGATGGTGAAGAAACGGATCATTTTCGTCACCGCCGACTGACCGGAGATTCTGGGATCGACGTGCGACCTCCTGACCCTGTGTGTGACGATGATGATGGTGACGACGAGGTCATGGAGAAGGATAAAGAGGTGGCACTCGTGCATGGGAGACTCGCCGCAGAGCTGGGCGCCAAGGCCCACAATGGGGGGCAGGCGAGCGCCTCCCAAAGCAGCCAGCTGGCGCGGACCCCTTGACAGCCCCCCACCAATGATAAGCCGGTCCTGCGCCAACTCTTGGGCTGCAGGGCCCCCCACAAAACCTGACCTGGGCCTCGCAATCGGAAGGTTGCAAGTTCAAACCCTGGCTGGGATTCTAATTGGGGGGCCCCCCAACAACCACCCCACCATCATTATCTCAAGGGGGGGTCGGTAAACTTAATAGCGACACTCGTGCAGTGGCTGTGGTACAGAGGCTCCCGTCATATGAATGTGGAATGCGCTGGCTCGAGGTCACTATCCGTTCTCGTGCGGGGGCCGTGCCGCCGCGTGCTGTTTGGCACGATGTCCGACGTTCCGCTCTACGTGCCGAATTAATGAGCGCTGGCGTTCTCCCTCGAGTATTCGCCGTCGCGAGTTCTCGACCCCGATCGCTCGGTCCGGGCCACGGAACGCTCGGGGCTCCCGAAGCTGCTCCCGGCACGTGGAGCGGAACGTCGGACGACGCGCCCGACAACGCGTAGCGGCACGATCCTCGGAAACGCGGAGAGGAGTGGGGGGTGAACTGCGGGCTGCGGTCACCCACTCCTGCCTCCACCCCCCGACCCCCCGACCCCCCCACACACGCAGCCCCTCCCCGTGAAATGCGGCTGTTAGACTCGGCAGCTGGAGATGCGGTCGCTGTGGAAATGAAAAGTGTTCTGTCATTGCATGTTAACGCTTCATAAGGTGTGGGGGGGCAAGTATCTCGAGAGGAGGGTGGTCCATACAAATAGAGGGGACACGATATAACAACAATAACGATAATATTATTACTATAGTCATTTATTTACCTACGCACTTTGATCCTTGGCAATCCAGGAAAGGCTCGCTGTGCATCAGGAGGGTCCTGCCCCTGGGGATGTTGGGCCGACGTTCCCACGGTCCGCACGGATGGGTTCCGCGTGCCCACTTGCTATACTACCATATCCTGGCCACCTTGCCCACGGTCCCCAGTGAGGGTGCCATCCTCTCCCTTTTGGGGTTTTTTTTGTGGGTCCCTATTCAAAACTCATTCAGGACGGCCCTCCCCCCGCCCACTCCCCTCTAAAGTTTCTAAATCTGCCTCTTCCTGCATCCCACGTTCACATTGCTGTAAACACCACCATCAACTCCTAGGGCCTCCTCCCCTGTGGCCGGCTACTTGGTGGGGGGGGGCCTGGGAACGGCGTGCAGCAGGTAGGGCCGTGGGTGCAGCACCACCCCGCACTCGCCGGCCAGGTCCGGGAGCAGGAGGGCGCCCCCCACCCCGGATCGGGGGGCCTCGAAGCGGAACCTCTGCAGCAGGGCGGCGGACATGAGCAGCAGCTGCAGGCGTGCGAGGGGCTCCCCCAGGCACACGCGGGGCCCCCCCCCGAACGGCAGGAAGGAGGAACCTTCGGGGGCCCCCGCCTGCAGCCGCCCCCCCTCCCAGCGCAGGAAGCGGCCTAGTGGGGAGCGGCGGAGGGCGACATGGGGAGAGGAGAGACTGGATTAGCAGGGTTTGGAGTTTGGGGGGGGGGCACTGAAATTTGGGTCACGTGACCCAATGGGAGGGGGCGGCAATCGAGTTTGGATCACGTGATCCATATTGGGGGGGGGGGGGGTCGATGATGGATTTAGATGGCGTCCTGAGAAATCTTAAAGCCACGCAGTCGGTTGATGGCCTCCTCGCGAAGGCCGTGACTCCGCGTGGGGTTGAGTTGAGAGTTGTGCAGTGACTGGGGGCCCGGCCGCCCCAGAGACATCCCAGGCGCACCGATCCGAAGGATGTCCACCACTCCCGGGTTGCTGGCTCGGTGGCGCGTGACGAGTAGCCACGGCGAGAGGTCAATCGAAGGACGTGGTGTGCCTTGGTTACACACCGATGGGTGGTGGCGAGACGACGATGGCGATGCTGATGATACAATAAAGCGGTGGATTTATATTGTTCACGGTGATACTCTGAGGGGGAGGAGGCTGCAGGAGGCAGCTGCCACAGCACAGCAACGGTTCGCACGCTGAACATGTGATCCAGAGGTCGCTGGTTGCGCGGCAGCTGAAACAATGGAGCAAGGTCTCCACTGCCTCTGTCTACCCAGCAGCAGCTGTAGACAGGGGTTCACCACATTGGCCAGGGTGGAGGAGTGGACCAAAACTATTTATTTATTTGGCTCCGTGCGGAGACTGGGCCGCCGTGCCGGCTGCCCGCCAGGGCCGCGGGCCACTGCATTTGTCACGGAGATCAAACGGCAGAGGGGCACCTGACGGCCCGGGCGATGGGACCGGGAGATGGGAAACTGGACGAGAAAATGGGAGATGAGAGACGGCAGACAGGAGGAGTCGGAGATGTAAGACAGGAGACGGGAGCAGGAGTGGAACCTGGGTCGAAGCGCTCGGGGTCGGGCCACGCCGCCTCGTCGTGGTGGATGGACCACATGTTCACGAGCACGCGCGTTCCCTTGGCAACCGCGAAATTCCCCACCCTGTGGGGAGTGGGGGTGCACAGAATAGGGGCAAGGCGAGAGGAGGGGTGAGCAAAACATCGGGTCCTCATGCCCCCCATGTTCCCGGCCCCCCGAGTTCCCGGCCCCCCTAAATCCCCAGTAATCCCCCCGCACATCCAATTAGCACCGTTGGCTACATACGGTGCGAAAGAAGTTACAACGCACATACACAGGTTGCGTGTCCTCCATCTCTACCCCCTCCATCACGGTCCTGTTTAGGTCACACTCCCGTGTCCTCCACCCATACACCCTCGTGTCTACATCCCCTATTACACGGTGACCCCTATGTAGTGACCCCTATGTGGTGACCCCGTGCCCCCTACGTGGTTTCCCTGTGGCCCACGTGACCCTTTGCCCCATACTTCCGCGCTTGGCCCCTTTCCCACGTGTCCTCTCCCCCCGTACCCACATTAATCCCTCGACCTCGCGTCTTCCCACGCTCCCCCCCCCCCGTGCCCCCCCCACCCCCCGTACGAGGTGTCCTCCATGGCCACGTGCGGGATGAGGAGCGGCGCCACGGGCCGCACGCGCTGCGTCTCCAGGATGGCCGCCGCGAGCTGCGGGGAGCGCGGTGCGGTCCGAGGCGCGGGGGGCGCGCTCCGCCCCGACCACCACGTCCAGCTCCGCGTGGACTCGCGCCTGCACCTGCTTGGGAGTGCGTGGCACGGGGGGGGGGGGGGGGAGCGGTGGGACGACTGGTTAGTGATGCGCCCAATTTCCCGCTAACGGCCTAAAACAGGGAGCAACATTTGAACCGGTCTTGGGTCTCCTCGAGGTCGACTCAACCAAAAATAAGGACCTGCTGTAAATATGCTTGAGCAGTCTGTTAAGGCTATACGGAGAACCTTTGCCTTTGTATACAGTTCAGTGTTGCGGGTGTGCAGGTGAGTGTGCGTCACGGCACGCGCCTCGGGGTGGTGCACCAGGTAAGCGAGGAGCCACCGCAGTGACGTCACCGTGGTCTCCACGCCGGCGCCGAAGACGTCGGCCACGGTCATCATCACGTGGTCGTCGGTGAGGCGGCGCGCGTGCTGCTGCAGCGCGCTCGGCTCGCCGCCTCCTGCACCCTCCCCTGCACCCTCCGCTGCACCCTGCCCTGCACCCTCCTCGCCACGCTCCGCCTCGCGCCGCGCTTCCAGCAGCAGCGAGAGCAGCGCGCGCGCTCCGTGCTCGGGTCCCGTGGCCTGGCACGAGCGCGCGCGATGATGAGCACGGTCCACGTGGGCACGGTGATGGTGACGGTGGTGGTGGTGATGATGAAGTTGACGGTGATGATGAAGATGACGGTGATGATGAAGATGATGATGAAGTTGACGGTGCTGGTGACGATCACCTTGTGCTCGTTGAGCTTCTGCTGCAGGAAGTCGTCTCGCACGGCCACACACGCGCGCAGTCGCCTCAGGTGCGCAATGGGGAACACCTGAGAGGAGCGCAGCACACAGGCAAGGATTCTCCGGGTAGCCGACAAAGGCGAATGGGCCAAGTGCTGTTAGCGAGCGCCTATTAAGGCCGACACGGCACACGATAACAATGGTGGTCAACACCACGCCTGATCGCGTTCGACTCCCCAATACCAGTCATTATTTGAGGCTGAATCGACTTAGGGGAGGCCCAGGACTGGTTAAAATATTCGGCACTCTCATTGGTCGTGAGCGGGAATGCAACTCGCGGGTCGCCGAGTTCGTAGCGCAGTGCGTGACCCACTGCGCCCTCGCTCCCCACAAACGCACGCGCGCATTCGCAGAGGTTCATCACATCCACACGGCGGTTCACAGCTCTTCCCTCCACACTCGCCCACAGACTCTCGACCTCTATCTCTCATGACCCCTCCCTTCTCTCTCCGGACCCCCCCCCCCCCCCCCCACCTTGCTCTCCCGTCTCCGCTCACCTGGAGCCAGGGGAAGAGGTCCACGGGGTGGTTTCGGGCTGCGGTCTCCACGATGCCGCGGTTGAAGTGCAGCACGCGCTCCACCTCGGGGGCCTCGGGGGCCCCGGGGGCCCTGGGGTCCGCGGCGCCGAACACGAGCGCGAGCATCGCGGCGGTGACCGCGCGCGCCACCCACGGCTCCGGGTCCACGGCGCGCGCCCCACTGCGCCCCGCGGCTTCCAGGCAGGCCACGAGGCCCCGCGCCTCCCGGCTCACTGCAACACACGCGGCCACGCTCCGGCCACTGCGTGACGGCTCGACGCAGCCAGCCCCTGCCCCGCGGGGCTCGACGAAGGGAGCCGCAAGCCGGTGAGCCACTCGGCTCAGGGAGCCTACTTGTTAACAGGCTGGCGCTCTAACCCCCCCCCCTCCCGGGTGCCCTAACACCTACCGTACTCTCTTGGTCCATGCATCAGAACAGACGTCGGTACCACCTCAAGTCGCTTCACCGTTAGCGGCACACGGGGCCTGGCGCTCATTATACCGCGCGCCCTGTAATGATCACGCCACCCTGCGGTGTTTCCCACACGCGAGGTGCCCGGCCTGGCCTCTTGGACTCTTCACGCCCTAACGCGCAGGGCGCGTTACGCAGTTGTCACGTGAGAGTTTATTTTTGGTGAGGATTTTGGCAAAACCAGGCGGACGCATGGATCCCGAGGCCGTGTGTGTGGTCCCGTGCCGCCTCCTCTTCTTGGCTCGCTGTGTGCCGAGTGGAACCGCGGGCACTGGGACCGCATGGTCCACAGAATCACGGTGCGAGTGTTTACATCGTGAGTGTGGGGGGTGGACGTGGTGAGCGCGGTGAGCGCGGCGTGGTGAGCGCAGCGCTCACCGATGTCGTGGAGGGAGTCCTCCCCGGGCGGCCTGGCCCCGTACAGCGCGGAGTGCACCACCTTGCGGTGGAAGCGCCACGCGGGGCTCGCGTCCGCGAAGGCGATGTCGCGTCCTCCGTGACTCACCAGGTCCGTGCTTACCTGCGGCCCGGCACACAACATCGAGACATTGGAGCGGCGGTGATGGAGTTCGTGAGGATAGAGGATGTTAGTGATGGTGGAGTTGGTGACGGTGGTCTGGGAGTGAGTGAGGATGGTGATAGTGAAGGGAGTGGTGGTGGTGGTGGCTAGGATCAATGTTGGTGGTGACATTCGTGCCGCCGCTGCCGCCGGCCTCACCATGCGAGCTCGCCCCGCGAACGCGCGTCCCTTGCGCAGCAGCACCTCCCGCGCGGGGCCCAGGGCGCACACCGCCAGCGCGCGGTGCGCTCCCAGGCGCAGCGCGAACACGGGGCCGTGCCTGGGGGGGGGGGCAGGGCGCGGGTGAACGCAGAGCCCAGCGCTGTCGACCACCGCTTCATCTACATCCAGCAGCAATTGTTCGAGCCGGCGGTCTCTGAACCGGTTTATTCGAGCAGGAAGTCTCTGAACCGGTTTAGAAATTCTGGGTCTCATCAGCAGGGCGAGACTCGTTAAACAAATACTGCCGATTTACCAGACGTCGTTCGCAAGAGCGCCCGACTGAAGACCACTGCAGTGTTGCGATCATTAAATGATGTCAGCTTTCAGGGCCACACAGAGGGGAAGATTTCCCCCAGGGGCCTCACACAAAGGGCCCCAGAGCGAGCCTCCCTGTGGACGGTGGGATGAGGAGGCCGACCCCACGCGGCATTCTGCCCGGACCTCCCCAGGCACCTCTGGGGGGCCCTGGCAGCTTTGGGTGACCTGGGGATCGAACCGAGGTGCGCTGGTCCCGTGACTCCTACCGCTTGGCGAGCTCGTGCAGCGTCAAGTGCAGAGCGCCGCGCCCGGCGAGCATGTGCAGGCTGCCCAGCAAGGGCAGGCAGGGCAGGCAGGGCGGAGCCGTAAGGGCAGCAGCAGCACCGGCAGGCCCTGCTGCCCTGTCGCTGCCCCCAACCCCGCTGCCCTTCCCGGGGTCAGGGCGAGAGCGGGCGAAGAGGCGGGAAGATGCAACCAGAAGAGACACCACCACCACCACGAGCAGCAGCAGCAGCAGCGGCGGCATCGCGTTGTCTCCCACAGCCCCCTCTGTAATGGTTACAGACCCACGCGGTGAAGTATGGTCAAACTACCCCGATGACCGACACGGCGTTGGGAGGCTTCCGCTTAAGAGTGGAGAACAAAGCTGAACGTTGTTACTCATGACGAGCTGATCACGTCGACGATGATGATGAATAAATGATGATCAAAGATTGAGTTCTCATCTCGGTGTTGTCTGGGACGCTGCTGAGGCTGGCTGGCTTCGAGTAAGAGTTATTAGCGTAAGGCACTAGCACGAGCACTAGCACTAGCACGAGCACCAACGTGAACAATGCGCCGATCCATAATGAAAGTAATCCTATAGCACTGTACGCAGTATTATACTGTCATCGGCCACGTGCCGCAGTGGCAGAACGAGCGGCTCGCAATCGCAAGGTTGCGAGTTCAAATCCTCGTCAGGGTGGGGGTTCACTCATTCCTATCATCCCTCCTCCGGGGTCGATAAAATAGCTACCATTTTGTTCGGCAAGTCAACAGCGGTTGTCCTATTCATCAACTCCACAACGCGCGTCATAGGAACGTGGAATTTACACCACTGGCTCAGCAAGGCATTTGAAAAGGAATCACTCTGACTTTGTTATCTATTAAGGCCGGTACGGCACACGAGGAGGTGGGTGGCCAGCACAACGCCCGGCCGCCTTTGTCTCCCCAGTGGAGATGCTCACACATCCCACCAGGAACCCATTTGAGGCTGAGTCGACCTAGGGGAGGCCCGGTACTTGTTCAGATATGTGTTCGTGAGTGGGAATCGAACTTGGGTCGCCGGGTTCGTAGCGCAGCGCGCTCACCGCTACACTACCGCTCCCCGCAGTAGTACACACACAGACACACGTGTACACAGTCACAACACAGACACACACAGACACAGACACACGTGTACACAGACACACGCAGACACACGTGTACACAGACACACACACAGACACACACACAGTCACACGTGTACACAGACACACGTGTACACAGTCCCAGCAACACAGACACACGTGTACACAGACACACACACAGACACACACACAGTCACACGTGTACACATACACACGTGTACACAGTCCCAGAAACACAGACACACGTGTACACAGACACACACACAGACACACGTGTACACAGACACACACACAGACACACGTGTACACAGACACACGTGTACACAGACACACACACACAGACACAACTCAACAGCCCCACTTCACGCACCCCGCCGCCTCTCACCTGGACGCTCCCAATGACCGAGCCCAGCTTGGGACCGAGTGCGACTGTGGACTCGGCACCACCCCAGCGGGGCCCGCGCTGCGGCGCAAGAGGCCGGCGGCGAGTGAGGAGGGAGCTCCCGGCGCCCGCGATGCCGCAGGTGAGTGAGTGATGGTGGTGATGGTGGTGCTGGTGGTGCTGGTGATGCAGCATTGGGTTGGGGGGGGGTCATTGATAGCACGTGGAGGGGGGGGGAGTCGCGTCACGGTCACGGTCACGGTCCACATGCGCACGGCGACCGCGCTTACCGCCACCACTCCCAGCCCCCCACTCCCAGCCCCCCACTCCCAGCCCCCCACTCCCAGCCCCCCACTCCCAGCCCCCCCCCCCACTCGCTCTCCTGGCTGCTGCGCCTTCGCTGTTGTCCGTCTCGCTCCTCCCGCCCGCCGGGGCTGTCCAACTCGCCCCAGGGTCGCGTTGGCGTGGCACCAGCAGCAACGTCGCTCCATCCGCACGGGTGGTCGTCCTCTCGGGCACGTCCCCCCTCCGTGGGCTGCCATTCCGTCACCAGCCTCGTCCACCGCCAATGATCCCTGCTGCTCGCCACGACGAGTCCAGGCAAAGGGCAATTCGCCGTCTCCCTTCTGAATGCGGAGCCACTTCTCCGTGTGGCCTGCGATCCACACGTCCCTCCTCAGCCCCTCTCCCGGTGCTTGTCAGTGCTCCCATCTGCTCCTCTCTGCTTCTCTCTGCTCCCCTCTGCTCCTCTCTGCTCCCCTCTGCTCCCCGCTGCTTCCCTCTGCTCCCCTCTGCTCCCCTCTGCTTCTCTCTGCTCCTCTCTGCTTCTCTCTGCTCCCCTCTGCTCCTCTCTGCTCCCCTCTGCTCCTCTTTGCTCCCTTCTGCTCGTCTCTGCTCCCCTCTGCTCCTCTCTGCTTCTCTCTGCTCCCCTCTGCTCCTCTTTGCTCCTCTCTGCTCCCCTTTGCTTCTCTCTGCTCCTCTCTGCTTCTCTCTGCTCCCCTCTGCTTCTCTCTGCTCCCCTCTGCTCCTCTTTGCTCCCTTCTGCTCGTCTCTGCTCCCCTCTGCTCCTCTCTGCTTTTCTCTGCTCCTCTCTGCTCCCCTCTGATCCCCTCTGCTCCTCTCTGCTCCCCTCTGCTCCTCTTTGCTCCTCTCTGCTTCTCTCTGCTCCCCTCTGCTCCTCTTTGCTCCCTTCTGCTCGTCTCTGCTTCTCTCTGCTTCTCTCTGATCCTCTCTGCTCCCCTCTGCTCCCCTCTGCTTCTCTCTGCTCCCCTCTGCTTCTCTCTGCTCCCCTCTGCTTCTCTCTGCTCCTCTCTGCTCCTCTCTGCTTCTCTCTGCTCCCCTCTGCTTCTCTCTGATCCTCTCTGCTCCTCTCTGCTCCCTCTGCTCCTCTCTGCTCCCCTCTGCTTCTCTCTGCTCCCCTCTGCTCCCCTCTGCTCCTCTCTGCTCCCCTCTGCTTCTCTCTGATCCTCTCTGCTCCTCTCTGCTCCCCTCTGCTCCTCTCTGCTCCCCTCTGCTTCTCTCTGCTCCCTCTGCTTCTCTCTGCTCCCCTCTGCTTTTCTCTGCTCCCCTCTGCTTCTCTCTGCTCCCCTCTGCTTCTCTCTGCTCCCCTCTGCTTTTCTCTGCTCCCCTCTGCTTCTCTCTGCTCCCCTCTGCTTTTCTCTGCTCCCCTCTTTTTCTCTCTGCTCCCCTCTGCTTCTCTCTGCTCCCCTCTGCTTCTCTCTGCTCCCCTCTGCTTCTCTCTGCTCCCCTCTGCTTCTCTCTGCTCCTCTCTGCTCCCCTCTGCTTCTCTCTGATCCTCTCTGCTCCTCTCTGCTCCCCTTTGCTTCTCTCTGCTCCCCTCTGCTTCTCTCTGCTCCCCTCTGCTTCTCTCTGCTCCCCTCTGCTTCTCTCTGCTCCCCTCTGCTTCTCTCTGCTCCCCTCTGCTTCTCTCTGCTCCCCTCTGCTTCTCTCTGCTCCTCTCTGCTCCCTTTGCTCCTCCCTGCTTCTCTCTGCTCCCCTCTGCTTCTCTCTGCTCCCCTCTGCTCCTCTCTGCTCCTCTCTGCTCCCCTCTGCTCCTCTCTGCTCCTCTCTGCTCCCCTCTGCTTCTCTCTGCTCCCCTCTGCTTCTCTCTGCTCTTCTCTGCTCCCCTCTGCTCCTCTCTGCTCCCCTCTCCTCCTCCCTGCTTTTTGCCAGAGTCCGTTTTTCCCATCCATACTTCGCCGATTTACTACAACAACAAACTCCACACATCAATGACCAAAACCCTTGTACCGGTTTCGACCTTGAAGGCCTCATCAGCAGTGCCAGACTTGGCGGGTGTGTTTGGTTTTAGTTAAATGCAGTGGGGGGGCGGTGGGGGGGGGGGCGGTGGGGGTGGGGGGAACTCCTCTGGCGAGGCAGTTTGACGCGGTCCCCGCCTTTGGCTGACGGCGCAAATGGCCACGGTCCCTGCGATGTAGGCGAAGGAGGAGGCGAATAGTGAGAGAGGAAGGGGCAAGAAGAGGAGGAGGAGGACGAGTGGGAGAAGAGGAGACGGCAGGAGGAGGAGTGGGAGAAGAGGGGGAGGAGGAGAGGAGGAGGACGAGGAGAGGAGTGGGAGAAGAGGGAGGAGGGGGGGGGGGATGGCGAGTGCTGCTCCCGCTCCGGGTCCCGGCCCGTTCGGCGTCACGGCCAAGTCGCTGCTGGGCGAGAAGGTCGCCTCCGGCACCGCGGACCTCGTCTCGCTCTCGCGGCAGATCCTCAAGGGGTCCCGCAGCGCAGAGGTGACACGGGGACACGGCACGGGGGGACACGGGGACACGGGTAGACAGGGAGACACGGCACGAGGAGACAGGGAGACGCGGCCTGGGGGGAGACGGCACGGGGACACGGGGACACGGCACGGGGAGACGACCTGGGGAGACACGGGACTCATGTTCCTGTTGACATAGTCGGTGAACGTCATTGTACTGCAGTGGGATAGCGCGTCGCGTGAGTGGTGTTTGTGTTGTGTGTGCAGTATAACCTGTGTGGTGTTGTATTGTGTGCTGTGTATGTGATGTGTGGTGTGCTGCGTGTGTGATGTGTGGTGTGTGATGTGTGGTGTGTGTGATGTGATGTGTGGTGTGTGATGTGTGTGATGTGTAAGTGATGTGTGGTGTGTGTGATGTGATGTGTGGTGTGTGATGTGTGGTGTGTATGTGATGTGTGGTGTGTGATGTGTGGTGTGTGATGTGATGTGTGGTGTGTGATGTGTGGTGTGTGGTGTGTGATGTGTGGTGTGTGATGTGTGGTGTGTGTGATGTGATGTGTGGTGTATTGTGTGGTGTGTAATGTGTGGTGTGTAACCAGTGTGGTGTGTGTGATGTGTGGTGTTGTATTGTGTGGTGTGTGATGTGTGGTGTGTAACCAGTGTGGTGTGTGTGATGTGTGGTGTTGTATTGTGTGGTGTGTGATGTGTGGTGTGTAACCAGTGTGGTGTGTGTGATGTGTGGTGTGTGGTGTTGTATTGTGTGGTGTGTGATGTGTGGTGTGTAACCAGTGTGGTGTGTGTGATGTGTGGGTGGTAACCAGTGTGGTGTGTGTGATGTGTGGTGTTGTATTGTGTGGTGTGTGATGTGTGGTGTGTAACCAGTGTGGTGTGTGTGGTGTGTGGTGTTGTATTGTGTGGTGTGTGATGTGTGGTGTGTAACCAGTGTGGTGTGTGTGATGTGTGGTGTTGTATTGTGTGGTGTGTGATGTGTGGTGTGTAACCAGTGTGGTGTGTGATGTGTGGTGTTGTATTGTGTGGTGTGTAACCAGTGTGGTGTGTGTGGTGTGTGGTGTGTGATGTGTGGTGTTGTATTGTGTGTGTGATGTGTGGTGTGTAACCAGTGTGGTGTGTGTGATGTGTGGTGTTGTATTGTGTGGTGTGTAACCAGTGTGGTGTGTGTGATGTGTGGTGTTGTATTGTGTAGCTCCTGGGTCAGGCAGCACGCAACATGGCCGCCCAAGAGGATGCCCTCCTGAGATCTGAAGATGTGAGTCCGTGCTGCCCTCATCACTGCCCCGCCACAACCACTCACCCCGCCACAACCACTCACCCCGCCACAACCACTCCACCCGGCCACAACCACTCACTCGACCACAGCAACTCCACCCGGCCACAGCTCAGTCAGCCAACTTCATTGGACGATGATCCAATTTCTAAATCGGCTCCGAGGTGACCGAGTGTCTCAGGGGTCAGCGATGCTCAGCCGGCTGAGACGCTGGGTTCAAAGCCGGTCGCAGCCGCTGCCTCTCAAGTGTGGAGAGTCTCCGCTCTCAGGTGAGGCTATAATTCACAATTGATTTTCTGGTCAGGCCACGAAATGATCCGCCCAAATATATTGCCTGGTAACCCTCCACCAACCTAACGGAGCCAAACAAATTAAGCACTCGCGTTGAATGGGCCAATTACGATTGTTCCAGCTCGCTTACCGGGTGAGTCGGAGAACAGTTCTCACAACGAGTCAATGCATTCATGACATCACAGGGGCAACCAATCGATTTAAACGCGACCTTTTACAAATTAATGTCAGTCGAGTAGCCATCCGAAAAGTCCACGCCGACGAGTGGAGATGCGGGCCGCGGGGTCCTGCAGCGCGCGTGGAGGTGAGGCGGTGTTTGTGGGGCGCGGGGGCCGCACACGCGACCTCGCGTCCGCTGCCCTTGGGCTGTCGACGGCCGCCGAGCGAAACCTTGGCGTCGATATTGACGAGCGGAGAGCTTCCACCTGCCACGTGGAGGTGGTGATGGTGGTGACGATGATGTGGTGAGAGTGCACTCTCCTTGAGCACGACTCGTGTGTGTGTGTGTTTTTTTACAGAACATGAAAAAGATGCAGATAATAACGTCGCATCTCCAATACCAGTACGTGCGAGCGGGTGCTCGTGTCCTTGATTACATGTGCATGTTTTACGCACGTATACGTGATTGTACGTCGCTTACCAATGCTGGCACTGTGACGCATACACGTGCACTGCTCGTGATGAGCAGCATCGCTAACATCGAGTCTCGCGTGTGTGTGTACGCGCGTTGTGTGGCGCGTGTCCACAGGCAGGAGTCCATACAGAAAAAGTGAGTAGCGTCAGCCGTCCGTGCAGACACAAACGTCAAGGTGACAATTGCCGTGTAGCCTACACAGGCCGTGAGCGAGCAGCACCTTTTAAGGGCACACAAGGGGGTGGTGTATAACGCACCACGCCCGGCCACCTTTGTCTCTCCAGTGCTGGTGATTATACACACCATTCCAGATACTCATTTCAAGTTGACGTGTTCAGGTATCACTGACCACGGATGTTAGACGTGGCTGGGATTAAAACTCAGTCTTAGGGTTTGTAATGCGGTGTGCCAACCACTGCCTACCGCTCCTGTGTACACCCACATGCACAAAACCACAGGGATTCATTTGAGGCTGAGTTGACCTTGGCATGCACACACGCTAGTGGTGATGTGGCCCGGTGGTAGTGCGTTCACCACTTGTTGCAGAAGTTCACTGGTCGAATCCAGCGGCTGCCCTGATTCATACTGCGGAGCAATAATAAATAATAATAACTACCACCCACCCACGCTCCAACTCACTCGCCGTGATGTCCCGTCTCTCCCCCCACAATCCCCCAACCCCCACCCCAGCGTTGAGATCTCCTCAAACGTCCTCGATCAACTCAACCACCTGCTCAAGTAGCGGCCGCCCCCCCTCCACCCAGACCACCGAACTATTCACCCTTCAGCGATTCCACGAATTGCCGGATTGGGGGCTGACAGGTTCCATTCTAAGAATTTATTAATTTCGTTTGGCTTCTCGAGTCCGTGTGTCTCGTGACCGTCGGTGTCATCCATACCCTCTCTCTTGCACGGTCTCTCTCGTCCGCGCAGAATGTTTGTATTGTTGGTTTCGTTCTAGCGACCTAAGAGAGGCGTTAAAATTATAGTTTCCTTAATTGTTTATAAATAGAGGCGTCGCCTCGCTGAGACAAACCGCTCAATGGCCTGGGGAGAGAGTTCGACTGGCATTGAAGACGCACGAGAACACCAAGGCGTCATCGCCACGCATCCGTGTCAACTTGTACGTGCAAAGCGTACGTGTAAAACTGTACATGTATATGCAAAGTCAAAACAGGTGCGTGTACAGTACAACTATGCTGTACACTGTAAAAAAAACAAGCAATTGTACATTTGGCGGTGCTCACGATCGTTCCACGCGAGGTCGGCTCTCACTCGCATCCCAAGTCTCATTGTACAGAAAAACGCGACGCAACTAACGGAGTGGAATCTCTGGTGGTCGTGTGCGGAAACCTGCGCGGGCTCGTGCGGCACGAGTGTCGAACTTCATTTGTGACTTTGAACCCCGAGTCGCGAGGAGCGCTGTAGGGATGAGTGTTGCGCTTGTTTACCCTCGTGACGTTTTTTGAGGAGGGTCCTGCCAAGTCTTTGCAGGAAGGGGGAATACATTGCCACGTACATTCCATCGAGAAATTTGCGGTTTAATTATTCAAACGTGGTGAATGTGATCCGTGACGTCGGCACACAATGGCCTGCTCTTGGGAATGACGCCATGGGATCTTTGACGTGCACTGTTGAGCGGACGAAGTCGTTTTGGCTGCGTGACCGTTGGAACAAAAATGTAGCTGCTCGGCTCAATGGGCCTCACAAAAAATAAACGGAATCTACAGACGCGTTGTATTTGTATGGTTTATACGCCCGCAGTATTAATCAGGGCGGGCGCTGCATTTGAACCGCGAACCTCTGCAACGAGCGGCCAACGCGCGACAGCGAGGCCCCGGTGTGACCCCCGTACGTTGCCTCGTGTCTCTGGGGGCTGTGGCCAGTGGTTCGTACCAACCGGCTGCTCAGAGCCGCTTGTGATGCCAGCCTCCAGGTTCGTCCACAAGGACCGTGATCCTCTCGGGCGTTCGTCAGCAACTGTCACCGGCAACTTGTTTACCGTGACTTGGTATGGCCATGGTAGAGTGACTGAGTGGAGTCTGCCCAGGGCCCACAGAGTTTA